GTCTCTGGGGTCTCTCCATCGTGTGCACACGCGGTGTCTCTGGGGTCTCTCCATCGTGTGCACACTCGGCGTCTCTGGGGTCTCTCCGTCGTGTGTACACTTGGCATTTCCCAAGTCTCTCTGTCATGTGCACACTGGCCACGTCTCTAGGGCCTCCATGAGGATCCTCTGACGCATAGCCAGTCCTGACTTCGATGGGGGCATCCTTCCCTAGTTCCTCACATTGGGTTCTGGAATGTTTCCTTGCTAAGTGGAAGGTTTCTTTGCTGAGTGGAAACTTTCTCACAGTCCCCACATTGATTGTCTCTCTCACATGGATTCTGTGATGTCACATAAGGCAACAGTGGCTGAAGGCTTTCCCATGCTCCTCACACTGAAGCATTCCCTGTGCTAGACCTCCTGGGGGGGGGGGCTGGAGGGGCCCACCATAAACAAGAGATTCTCAAAACTTGCCGATGCCAAAGAGATTCTCCTTTGCACAGAATCCTTATGCTGAGTAGTAACTCACCAGTCACTAAGCTTTTACTAGACCCACTGCATCAACGTTGTACCTCTGCAGAGATTCCCTCACATAATTCAGCATCTCCAGACTTTTCTGTTTTGGAACCAAGGTCTCATTTTCATTCTCAGAACCACCGCTTATGGCTTGTCCTTCATCCCTGCTGCCTCTTCAACTTTCCCAGCGTGGTTGATGCCTCCACTCCACATTCAGGATGACAGTGCCCCACTTAGGACTGTGGCTCCCAGGGCAGAGATCAGGCCTGCTCCAGCACCTAATCCTTAATACGCATTTCTGGCCTCAGAAACTGTGGGCAGAGTTCGTGAGTCTCCCAATAGCTGAGGTCCAAGTGTCTATCTCCTGGTGGTCACAACTTAAAGTTTGAGGAAAGATCTATGATTTCTTTGCCAGCTTGATTCTTGGTCCCAGGAACAGGCCTCTTCTTCTGTCACCAGCTAGTATGAACCATCCTTCCTGTGGAACTACCACAGGACTTCCATCCTGTGGAACCACCACAGGACTTCCACTGTGTAATGGGAGAGCTCGGGAGATGCCCTGCAGCATGGGGTTCATGCTGACTTTCACAAGCGTTTCCTAGTGTTGAGTCTTCTTCCTCAAAAACTTGGAAGCCACCCTTAACTCTCCCAGGCACCTCTCCACCACCAGGCCCAACCTCTTCAGAGTCACCAAACAGCCGAATGGGACACCAAATTCTGAATCTAAAGTCCACAGCCCCGAGACTACCACTGCCACCAAAGTCGCATCACTCAAAGTCTGATTTTTTTTTTTTTTTTAAGACAGAGCCTCAAGCTGTCCCCCTGGGTAGAGTGCTGTGGCTTCACTGCTCACAGCAACCTCCAACTCCTGGGCTCAAGCAAGTCTCCTGCCTCAGCCTCCCAAGTAGCTGGGACCACAGGCACCCACCACAACGCCCAGCTATTTTTTGGTTGCAGCCATTATTGTTGTTTGGCGGGCCCGGGCTGGATTCGAACCTGCTACCTTAGGTGTATGTGGCTGATGCCTTAGCCAGTGGAGCCACAGGCGCTGAGCCCAAAGTCTGATTTTTATGAAAGTGTCAACATAGCCAGAAGCTAAACAGCCACTGTTCCCTAACCCCTCTCTGCTGTGATTGGGCACTGCTTGTGGGCACCATCCTCCCTGATAGGCCCAGGACCTGTGCTGACCCCCATTACTTCCATAGATAATATAGCTGTCATCACTCCAAGACTTGCAAACAGCATTGCTGGTGTAAATCTTAAGCCTGGTTTGGAGGTTTTTCAGATTCTGCATTCTGGAGACCTACTGACACCAACCAGAGCTGTGGACAGGTGTGGGGATGGGTCCAACAGTCCTGTAACCCCCACCCAGGAAATCTCCATTTGGGGAAGGCACTTTCTGCATCCCAACCCTGTGAATTCATCTCCTTCCAATCTGCACACCCAATTCCCTAGCCTTTAACTTGCCAACTGTCTTTAAAGACCCTTTCACCCAAATTCTCAGTGAGATGGAGTTGAGAAATCCCTCCCATCTCCACATGCAATGCCGGGGTATCGATCACTTTCTCTGCTGTGACTCCTGGTGTCTCAGTGTCCTGGCTTCCTCCTGGGCAGTGGCCAGGAGCCTCAATGGGCTGGACCCTCAGGAGCCTCACTGGGCTGGACCCTCATTATGATGATTTTGGCTGAGCCGGGAGCTAGTGAAGTTTCTGACAACACTGAACACTGGTATTAGAGCATTTCAATGAAGCATAAACTGACATAACCAACACAGTGGTAAGTTTAGCTCCATATTGAATATTTGTTGATTCTCGCCAATGTCACCAATCACAAAGTTTTTTCATGCTAATCCCAGCTATACTTACTATTGTATCAACAAAAGTGAAAAGTTCTCCTCTGTCCAGCTCTTTGCTCATGCTTACTGTCATAAATCAGGACACAATTCACTTCTGAGCCCTAAAAGTTAGTCACTTGGTGAATGTCCCACCTCTCTAAATAAAGCCCCTATAACATACAGTTTAAATTATTTTTGCCCACTTCATAAAGTATAACTATTTGTTTAAATATCTGATTTTAGCCCATGGACTTGATTTTATTAAGTAAATGGCTTGATCCTATGGTCCCCAAACCCCAGGCTGCAGATGGTATGGTCCGTGGCCTGTCAGGAACCAGGTGGCGTGGCAGGGGGTGAGCGGCAGGTGAGCGAGTGACTCTCACTGTATTCACAGGTCCCCATCACTCACGTCACTGGCTAAGCTCTGCCTTCTGCCACATCAGTGGAGGCATTAGATTTTCATAGGCCTGGATACCCCACTGTAAACTGCACACTGAGGGACCTAAGGTGTGCCTGCTTATCAGAATCCTATCCCCAACCTGCGCTGTCCAAGAAAAACGTCTTCCATGAAACCCATTCCAGGAAAAACGTCTCCCATGAAACCCCAGGCCATTTTCATAGGCCTGGATACCCCACTGTAAACTGCACACTGAGGGACCTACGGTGTGCCTGCTTATCAGAATCCTATCCCCAACCTGCGCTGCCAAGAAAAACGCCTTCCATGAAACCAATTCCAGGTGCCAAAAAAGTTGGGGACCACTGGCTTAATCAACCAGCAAATGGAAAGTAAGATGTATGCTCATAAGTAATAAAGTGGGGGCCAGACAAGCCACGCAGCAGGCGGCGCACTCACCTTGTCGGGGTGCACCACCAGGACAGCCCTCCTGTACACCTTCTTCACCTGCTCCGGCGTGACCAGGTCTGCCATGCCAACTGGCTTCCACTTGGTCTCCCCTGCCCACAGCACCGTGTGCATTGTGGAAAGGAGAGCTCTGATATTTCTCTCTTTGCCTTCAATCCATTCCAGAATCTGTAAATGCACGGAGAATTAAGAATTTCAAATGCCTTCTAGTCTAGAATGTTTCCACCAGGATGCTGGAAACCTTTCCTGCTCTAGCAACTTCAAAATATTTGGGATATGGTACACTTTCCAGGCTGTTTCCTGCTCCTGGAAGGTTTTGCCACCCCCTCATCCTCCAGCTGGTTGTTCTGGTTAACTCTGCTCAGGAATTTCAGTTAGACTCTGAGAGTCTGAATCCCTTCCTCTTTGGACCCTCAGAGTCGATTTCTCCCTCCCAGAATATAAACACCATGAGGGTGTGCACTGCATCTGTTCCTGCACCAAATTAATATCCTTCATGGAAAAGCCCAACTTTTCTGTGCCACTCTGCCTTGCATGTGTGGTGTCACAGCAGGAGCCACACTTTACTGTGCTGTCTGGTGTTCATCTTTCCCTGCCATCAGGCACAGCTATGTACAGAGGGTGCCATTTCCTGCATATCTACTGTTTCCCAGGAACTGGATAATACACCCGATCCAGAGAGGAACTCAGAAAGGCTGAAATGAATCCATCCATTCAGACATGTACCCACACTGTGACCACTCATGGTTTGAATCTTCACAGTCTGAACGAATGAGGTGATAAGCTTTTAAAGGACCTAACACCACGAGGGCATCCAGCCCCTAAAAGTAGTGCAGTGAGCACCTGTTGTGGGGTGAGTGGGTTACTCAGGGTTCATGACAGCTCCTCCCCCAAACCCTTAAATGCCCTACATGAATTAATTAACCAAACATGGTTTAAAGGAATAAGTAACTTTCTTTATGAAAACTTTCATATTTCACCTCTTGAACAAAGGCTGTCAAGAAGGAGTGCAAACTTTTTAGAAGGAATATTCAGGCTCTGTGATGTTTTATGAAGTGAAAACATGCAAATGAAGGACCTTATGTTATACTAAAAAAATGTATCAAAGGCTCTGTGTATCTCAACAAACATCTGAGTCTGTCAGGAAATTATGAAGAACAGTGATGTGTTTTTCCAACATGTGTAAGACTGGCTTACTGTGCAAGTCATCTGCTTTCCAGACATTTTCATGCAAAGACATGCTCGCCTCAAACTACCAGGTCACCATACTTGGTGTTTCGGCATGTAAGAATCCACCTTTCTATCTGTGAAGAGCATTCCCATCCCCTCAATCTTTACAAACTCTACAAGACCTTTCACCATTTGTCAACATAACCATCTCTGTTTCCAAGTGAGTCCATGCTCACCTGTCCATGTGACATCCTCAGCTATGAAGTAATGCTTGTTTCCTCAGCTATGAAATGATTGGGTTGGAATTTTGACTTGCAAACTTAAAAAATGCAGAAACATAATTTCCCCCCCCCCACTCAAATCAAATCTTCCATAGGCTTCTAGAATCAGAGATAGGTAAAAATAATAGAACTACTCTGGTTAAGAGTGGAGAGGTAGTGGGGAAGCCCTCAGCCTTCTTCTCCTCCACTTTCCCAAAGTCCAGGTCTCATGTTACAAACTTCAATTTCTGGCGACATAAATATGTGTCCATCAGCACATAAAAGATCCTGGTGGCTTCTTTCAGTCTGATCTGACAAAAAGCTCTCAAGGCAGAAAGAGAAAAATTCTAATGACTTATCATTAGAATACAAATGCCATCTGAATAACAAACTGATTACTCACATGAACAGCAAACATGGGAATCTATATTGCTATGCCACAGAATAAAATTTATTTCATTAGAGAAATGAAATGGCAGGTGCCACTGTCTCCAAAGCTACTTTGCTATATTCCAGTAGTAGCTTCAGGGATCAACTGAAATACAGTGATTACCAAAAATCTAAAACAGTGCCCTCTGTAAGTGCTATGGTCTGAATGTGTGTGTCCCCACGGAAATCACAGGCTGAAACTCTAACCCCCTCGGTGGTGGTATGAGGAGGCCGGGCCTTTAGAAGGTGGTAGATCATGAGTGCAGAATCCTCATAAATAGGACCTCGTCCTCAGGAGAGAAGCCTGAGTGAGAGCTCTCCTTTGTCATGTGGGGCACAGTGAAGGGACCACAGTCTAAACAAATAAGAGGCCCTCACAGACCCCGAGCTGCTGACACCCAACCCCGGACTTCCCAGCCTCCAGAAGCAGAAGTGAATATCCTCTGATCACAGGCTGCCAAGTTCATCTTGTCACAGCCTGGATGCACTATGACATGGGTGAGCCTCATGCTGATGGCTCCACACACAGGACTTTGCCATAAGACCCTGTCACAGAATAATCATGCTGAGTCAGGACTCACTCACTTTGAGTTTCTCAGGGTCCATTTCCTTAGCCATTTCCTCCTTTCTCATCTCAGCGATTGTTCGAGGCCCCTTTTTGTCTTTGTGAGCGTTAAAACCCTGGCCAGAGAGCAAGTCTTCAAAGTCAGCTGCTTTTGGTTTCCCTTCTGCAATATAATTTTTGAAAGTCATTATAGTTTTCATCCTTCAACATTTCATAGCACAAGTCTTCAAGGTGCTTTCCCGTAGGCTAAAACCTACACGCCTAGGCTGTGAATAGGGTGAGAGACTCTTGTGTCCACTTTACAGATGAGGAAAACTAAGTCTGGAGGCCCTAACAGATCTGTCCAGAGTTATATAATGTGAACACAGCAAGGCTGGATCATTACGCTAAATCTGATTCCATTTCCAAGGTACCTTCCTTCCAGATGAAGGTGTTCATGATGGTCCCATGGTAAATAGTTAGTATGTGAGGTGGAAGTTCCTACCCCACTGTAAATACTGAGTATCTGAGAGCATAGTTCCTGTTCCATTGTAAATACTGAGTATCTCACATGAAAGTTCCTGTTCCACTGTAAATGCTGTGTATCTGAGATGAAAGCTCCTTCCCCACTGTAAATACTGAGTATCCGAACTGAACGTTCCTGCCCCACTACAAATACTGAGTATCAAAGGGGAAAGTTCCTGCCCCACTGTAAATATGGAGTATCTTCCTGCCACACTATAAATACTAAGTATATGAGATGAAAGTTCTACTGTAAGTACTGAGTATCTGAGATGAAAGTTCCCGTTCCACTGTAAATACTGAGTATCTGAGATGAAAGTTCCTGTTCCATTGTAAATACTGAGTGACTGAGATGAAAGTTCCTGTTCCATTGTAAATACTGAGTATCTGAGATGAAAGTTCTACTGTAAATACTGAGTATCTGAGATGACAGTTCTACTGTAAATACTGAGTGACTGAGATGAATGTTCCTGCTCCACTGTAAATACTGAGCATCTGAGATGAAAGTTCCTGACCCACTGTAAATACTGAGTATCTGAGATGAAAGTTCCTGTTCCACTGTAAATACTAAGTGACTGAGATGAAAGTTCCTGTTCCACTGTAAATACTGAGTATCTGAGATGAAAGTTCCTGTTCCACTGTAAATACTGAGTACCTGAGGTGAAAGTTACTGCCTCAAGGGGTGGAGATAAGATGGCATACTGCAGACACGATTCTACAGAGGCTCCCATCCAGAAGGAGAGTTAAAAGACAGAAGTTTAGCAAGTAAGCCAATGGTTTGGAACTGAGCCAAGAGAGACGGTTGAAGAACGCACATCAACCCTGCTGTGGTGAGCTGCGGCCCCAAGGATACAAACAAAGTACAAAATCCATTGCCAAGCAGACAGCTGTCCCCTCTCCCATGAGAAGGGCTTACAGAATACTCTATACAAATAAGCAAGGAGAGTTCAAATGTCCTCCCATTCTATCCCATGGGAGAGACACTCTAAAAACTGGACCTCCTACCCCTACTAGGGTGCCACGGCACTCTCCTGCCAGGTATTCTCTACCTGCAATTCTGAACACCCAGCACTCCCCTGTGCTCTCACCCTGAGGTCTGGAAGCCCATCCCCCATGAAGTCAAGATTCTTGGGCATTTTTTTCAAGAGGTGTGGATGGGGCAGGGGCTATTGGTAGTCTGTGCTGATTTTGCATCACAGGAGTAAGGAAAGGATGGTCAGCTAAAAGGGAACCATACAGGAGCGGTGGTGCCCCAAGGTGCAGAGAAGCTACTGCAGCAGCAGGAACAATAAGGCTCACACCCCTGGGGCTATTCCAGACAGATAAGCCCTGTCTCTCTGGACAACCAAAGGAAGCCGGGCATCTTCCCCAGTGGCAGCCACAAGTGGAACGGATCTAAGACGGAAGTGCAGGCCCTGTGAGTAAAGGGAAGGCCTGAGGCGGTAGTGGCCTGGGCAGAGCACAGGGACTAGAATAGGTGCACAGAGCTGGCAGACTCCCAGTGTGGGGCTGAGCCAGAGAATTGCCTTACTGAGCCTAAGACACATCTGGCCCTCAGGGGATCACAGCTGAGACAAAGGCGGGCAGGCAGAGGCTGGAACTAACAGCTGAGTGTGAGCTCTAACTGCTTGCCGCTGCCCTGGCTGAGCTGCAGTTTCTGTCAACTCAAGCAGCATCTGATCTGCAGGGAAATATAGCTGGGAAAGAAACAAATTCTGTGAAGTTGTTCTGTCCTGTTCTGCTAGCAACAATCAGGGGTGGGGCTTGAACTGAGTGCACTACTGCAGCCTCCATTAAGCACCTGAGGTTGTCAGGCCTCACCTCCCCCTGCCAGATAGTAGCAGAGAGTGGCAGCCTGGATCAGGACACATAGATCTACCTGTGACTCAGGCAGTCGTAAACCCCTGGAGCATCTGCTCATTGGAGGGAACTGGGTCACAGCCCTGTGGGGGTACCAGTGACTGGGTGTGACAGAGGTGCAAGGTGGGGAAGGAGGCATTAACCTTCCCAGACTAATTTATTTGCTGGGTGGATCCTTCCAACCTCACAAAGTACCAGAGAGAGTCATACTTGAGCTGCCAGCAGACCCCTGCTATCTAGTTGCCTTTTGAACTCTCCCACCTGAGACCAGTGCTGACTGGGAAAATTGATCTGGACTTCTCGAACTGGGCCATCACACAAGGACTATCCAAAGTGGTACCCTGGGTGTGTGGTTGTGGGAAGGTTTGATTTTCCTTTTCCAATTGTTGCCTGTAGGGGGCAGGGTTACTTAATTGCCGGGATTTCTCCACAACTGTGACTTCAACCCAGAATAACTGATTCACTAGGGTAGGACAGAGACCAGCTGAAAACAAGACAGAGCCATTTATCCCCTCCACACCATGCAGGCCCCCAGTTTCTCAGGCCATAGCACTGTACGGGTCCTTGGCAAAGCTCTAGGGGGAAAGATACAGATGCCAGTCCCAGCTTTTGGGCAAAGGGCTAGTTAATCACTACTCCTGAAGCCCCCAACCCAACTTCTCCTTATCTGCTCATCTAGCCAAATGGTGTAAAATAAGCATGGGGCAGAATCAGTGGGAAAACTCCAGTAACATGAATAACCAGAGTAGATAACCCCCCTCCACCAAAGAAGGGTATCACAGACACAACTGAAGATCCCATTTATAAACAGATAGCTGAGATGTCAGAAATTGAATTCAGAATTTGGATTGCAAATAAGATTAATAGAATAGTGGCAATGTTGGAATTAGAAATTCCAGGTCCTCTCAAGAATTTAATGAATTCAAAGACAAAATCATCAAAGATTTTGACACATTGAGGCAAGAGCTTGTAGCCCTCAAGGATCTGAAAAATACAGTAGAATCCCTTGGTAAAAGAATGGAACAGGCTGAAGAAAGGATCTCTGACTTGAAGACAAAGCTTTTGAACGCACTCAACCACTCAAAGAAGAAAAGAAATGGAGAACAAAAATGGATCATGCTCTCAGAGAGCTCTGGGATAATTCAAAGAAAACTAATATTTGCCTTATAGGAACCCCTGAAAGTGACGAAGTTGCTTAACAAAACACAGAGGCTCTTCTTCGTGAAATTATGAAAGAGAACTTTCCAGACATGCCAAGAAATTCTGAAATTCAGATAGCAGACGGTTTCAGAAGCCCAGCATAACACAACCCAAATAAGACATCCCCCAGGCACATCATAATTAACTTCACTAAAGTTAACACGAAAGAGAAAATTCTGAAAGCAGCCAGATGTAAGAAAACCATAACCTACAAGGGGAAGAATATTAGAATGACTGCAGATCTGTCTGCTGAAACCTTTTGGGCTAGAAGAGGGTGGTCATTGACTTTCAATCTCCTAGAACAAATAACTTTCAACCGAGGATGCTGTATCCAGCTAAACTGAGTTTCATTTATGATGGAGAAATTGAATACTTTAATGACATTCACATGTTGAAGAAATTTGCCATAACTAAACCAGCTCTCCAGGATATTCTCAGAACTATCCTCCATAATGAGCAGGGCAATCCTCCACCACAAAATTAACTCACTCAGAAACTTTTGACCAAATTCCAACTTCTACAGTGGCAAAAGGATTAAAAATGTCCACTGGACTTTCAAAAAACTTGATACTCAAAATTTTACCAGGCTTATCAATATTCTCAATTAATGTGAATGGCTTAAATTTGCCTCTAAAGAGGCACAGATTGGCAGAATGGATACAAAAGTGCAGAACATAAATGCTGCATACAAGGATCTCATCTTACCTTCAAAGATAAATATAGACTCAGGGTGAAGGGATGGCCATCTATATATTCCAGGCAAATGGAAAGCAGAAAAAAGCAGGTGTTGCAATTTTATTTGCAGATACAATAGGCTTTAAACCAACAAAAGTAAGCATGGATAAGGATGGTCACTTCATATTTGTTAAGGGTAATACTCAACATGATGAGATTTCAATTATTAATATTTATGCACCCAGTCAAAATGCACCTCAATTTGTAAGAGACACTCTAACAGACATGAGCAACTTGATTTCTTCCAGCTCCATCATAATAGAGATTTTAACACTCCTTTGGCAGTGTTGGATAGATCCTTCAATAAGAAGCTTAGCAAAGAAATTTTAGATTTAAACTTAACCACTCAACATTTAGATTTAACAGACATCTACAGAACATTTCATTCTAACAAAACTGAATACACATTTTTCTCATCAGCCCACAAAACATACTGCAAAAACAATCACATCTTAGGTCACAAGTATAACCTCAGCAAATTTAAAATAATAGAAATTATTCCTTGCATCTTCTCGGACCATTATGAAATAAAACTTGAACTCAGTGACAACAGGAATCTGCAGACACATACAAAAACATGAAAGCTAAATAACCTTATGCTGAATAATAGGTGGGTCAGAGATGAGATTAAGAAGGAAATTACCAAATTTTTGGAATAAAATGATCATGAAGACATGAATTACCAGAACCTCTGGGATACTGCAAAGGCATTCCTAAGAAAGAAATTTATAGCACTGCAAGTCTTCCTCAAGGGAATGGAAAGAGAGGAAGTTAACAACTTAATGGGACATCTCAAGCAGCTGGAAAAGGAAGAACATTCCAATCCCAAACCCAGCAGAAGAAAATAAATAATCAAAATTCAATTGT